CTTCCTTCCTTCCTTCCTTCCTTCCTTCCTTCCTTCCTCTCTCCTTCTTCCAGATGACATAGCCGGGCCTCAGCCTGGTCCCTTCCTAGTGAGCGTCATGGGCGCCTCCCTGCAGTCCCTCCCCCTGCCTCTCCCTCCTCCTCCTCCTCCCTCCCACGCCACCATCCAGCACAGTCTCAGCCTCAATGGTAAGACGAGGGGGGCCTGATGGGAAATACGGTTCGGATTTAGTCCTCAGCTCTGGTTTCTCATTTGAATGAACTAAATGCGCATGCAGTTGTTAAAAATGCTTCGTTTTGCACCTTTAAATCCTCTGATTCAGACGCCTTCCTCCGGGCCCTTCCTCATTCGAACCCATCTCCAGCCGATGCTCCGCCCCCCAGCAGACAGGCTCCGCCCCCCATGCTGTGCGCCCTGCGTAGGTCAGAAGCCAGCAACTTCACCGCCAGTCTGAGAGAGCTGGAGAAGGTCAGTCATACTGATGTTTATTACTTATAAACTTAAAATATCATTCATTTATTTCTTCTATATATTCAATGTTTAGTTGTGGATGGAGTATGGGGCAGGAACCAAAGACGCATGGGGCATTCATACCAACTTTCCCACCTTCCGAGTTCATGTCATGAATTTACTTGAAAAAATGGAAACCTGTTAAGTCCATGGCAGTTTGCACAAACCAAAAGCTCTACTCCAACTACTTTTTAGCTAAATTTAATCATCCTTGCATTCAGTCTAACTCTCAGCAATCACTTATTTTTCACTGTTTGAAATTTGTACTGAACATCCACAAAGAGTAATTTCCAACAAAACAGTGTTTGATGAATGTTTTACAGCATTCAAATTAATCGCAATAAATAATGTACTAGCCGAACCAAATACTCTTCAGTTTAAAAAAAAACACAAAAAAAACACAAAACGTTAATATTTCTACACATTTTTTACTGTTTGTCATTTTCGAGCAGAGGCCTGTAAAAATAGCTCAGAGCTGAACAGTTTGAGACGACGAGGAGCACATTTTAAACAGTCAACAGTTTGGAGGAATCACAAAAATGAGCAAAATCTGCCTCACAGGGTCAAACTTCTAAACTTTTTAACTAAAAAAAGTGTCTGGAGTAGAGCTTTAGGATTTTTGCAAGGCCTCGTGAACCTAACTGAAGTTTTCATGTGAACTTTTTAAAGAAAATCCGTGACATGCCCTGTGAGGGTTCTGGGTTCTGAATGACCCACATACCACAGCACTTGTAGCCTAAGCCCATTTCCACCTTTGGATGTGCCTCTAACGGCACCGTAACTGTTGTGCCAGCAAATCAAACTAGACAATCTAGAGTCCATTGCTATGTCTTCTCACTGGGTTCCTGAATTGTTCTGTCGGGCTCTGTGGCTGCAGTGCGGCTGGTACTGGGGACCCATGAACTGGGAGGACGCAGAGATGAAGCTGAAGGGGAAACCAGACGGATCCTTCCTGGTCCGAGACAGTTCGGACCCTCGATACATCCTGAGCCTCAGCTTCAGGTCGCAGGGAGTCACGCACCACACGCGCATGGAGCACTACCGAGGTCAGTTTGGTTCATCCGTTTGTTAGATATATTCCTGAAATGTCGGTTATTTCTCTATTGGAAAGCACTTGTTGTTTTAAATGTGCTCCATGAATAACAGGGACTTGATTTGGTTATCTGAAGATGTGCCAGATTTGCAAAAGGCCAGTTTCCAAATATGAAACAACCCAATGAGCGAGCATCACCTGAAAGAACAGAACGATACTGCATGATAAGAGAACTAACTGATGGAACATGTAGAGAGAGAGGGAGAGCTGCTTCTTGTGTTTTCTGCTCTATCACGTATGCGTCATGATGTTTTAAGAAAACAGGATATGATACAAAAACTACGTTGTGTCCTCTGGGCCTGTTCTCGATAGTCCAATGAGCAGGCAGAAATGAAGTACGCCAGCTCCGGTGATGGGTCAAGAAATCAATAAAGCCACAGAGCTGGTACGTCTTTCTTTGAGGATCCTGTTTTTGTGTGAATCCCTGACATAAGCTGTGATAAACAAATAAAACGTTTTTTGGTTAGGTTTTTTTTTTATGCCTCAGTGGTTCAGTGGTTAGCACCTCGCAGCTAGAAGGTCGCCGGTTCACGTCCCGGTGAGGACACCTGGGATCTTTCTGCGTGGGGTCTCCATGTTCTCCCCGTGCAGTGTGGGTTCTCTCCGGGTTCTCTGGCTTCCTCCCACACAGTCCAAACACATCCATCCATCTATTATACACCGCTTAATCCTCACTAGGGTCATGGGGGGCTGGAGTCTATCCCAGCTGACTCAGGGTGAAGGCAGGTTCACCTGGACAGGTAACCAGTCTATCACAGGGCTACACTTAGAGACAGACAACCAAGCACACTCACATTCACACCTACGGACAATTTACAATCACCAATTAACCTCAGCATGTTTCTGGACTGTGGGAGGAAGCCGGAGAACCCGGAGAGAACCCACGCTGCACGGGGAGAACATGGAGACTCCACGCAGAAAGATCCCGGGTGTCCTCACCGGGACGCGAACCGGCGACGGTACTAACCACCGAGCCACCCTCTGTTTTCAGGCTTTAGAAAATCTAGCATGTGATGATGAACAGAGTTCGTGGAGAGAGCCAGATGTCTGGTTTAGCAGCACTTTGACTCTTCTAGAGTTAGAATCCTGTAGAATCCGGCGGCTCAACCACTCGTGGATGTTTGTAGCGCGTGCTCTCCTGGTGGGAGGGGCTTCAGGGCTTCGTTTTCAGTCTGTTTGGTTGTTTGTTTGTTTTTCAGATTCCTGTCTACTGTAGCTTTAACTGAACTTACAGTCACTATAGGTGATGCATTTGAGCATTTGAGTTTGTGCTTTGACTTGCATTAAATGTGAGCTGCAATCTTCTCCCCAAATCTTTTTAATTTTTGATTTGATGTTAGTCTGAGCTAAACCCAGCCCTGCTCATCGCTGCCTCCAGCGTGGGTGAAGCTCCGCTTGTTTGTTTGATTGATGTGGTTTAATAAAAGGAGCAATATTGTTTATTACCTTATAAACTAAATCACAGTCTGCTGCATTTGATCGTGTTTTGACACCCCTATGATCTTACAGTGGTGATACATGTGAGGCTTCTTATCTGTGATTTTCAGTGTTGGTGAGCGGTTCAGTGGGTGTTAATGTGGTGTAGCGAGCTCGCCCTCAGGCTGCTAAGCAGAGTGCGAGAGAATCATTGCGTTCATAAACATTTTAACTGCATCAGACACTTTCTTGTGCATGTGATACGAATTTGGTCAAAGTTAAAGACAGCTATGAGTGCTGCAAAACAATTAAACTGATGATTGGTTTAAGTCAGGATCAGGTGAAGTGTTCATCTTAACTCTAAAGTGTGAGTGTCTTCTTCAAAATGTCCAAACCAACGGGGACGCCTGCGGGAAGGTGGCCACCGGACGCATGCGATGCTACACAATGTCCCCGTGGATGAATATGTTCACATCCACAGTCAGCACTTGTGGTTTATAACAATATTAAACAGCAGCACTTCCAAAGTGCTTCACAGACATAAAAATAGAAAAGTCAGCATCAGCTAAATGCAGTTAAAAAGTACAAGCTTGTCCTTAAAATGGAGTCTTTCTTTAACACTTTAAGATGGGGGCAAGGCCTTTAAAACAAGCAAGGAGATGTGAAAACCTGAGCAGTGAGAGTGGGAGAAATGGGCTCATATTTTCAGGTTCAAGGAGAAAAAGGGATTTATGAAGGTCGACGTGTAAAGTTTTGAGTGCAGACCCCTTTTTCCTACTTTCCATTTATTTTTTGGTTTTATTCATCCACTTTTTCCCTCTTTTACTCTTTGGTTATTTTTTTTTTTTACTTCAGCCTGTTGGTAGTAAGTCGGTTCTCATTGCTGGTGAAAAGTTGAACCATGAAAATGAAGGTCAGCAGCGCACAGGAAAGCAAACAGCTGAAACATTTCTGCATTTTTTTTTCATGAATACACAAGTGTGAAGTTAATAAAAAAAATAAATCTACTGATATATCTTTTTCATACTTTTTAAATAAATGACCTAACCCTGGTGAGGCTCCTCAATTTTACTGAAATATTTTGAGGACGTCAGGTTTGAGTGAGTATCTGCAAAGTAATGATGGAGACCAACAGTCGTCCTCAGATGTATTCATACCCTCACATTAAAGAAGGAAAACAAACAGCAAAATAAGTTGAAATTGCCAAAAGTAATAATAAATAAAAATGTGATGAACATCATGACGCTGCTTTTGAATTGTGGTTCAACAGAAACATTAAAAAAAAAAACTAAAAACACACAATCAAACCAGCATGATGGGAACTAATATTTAGTTGAACAACCCTCTGAGCCAATCACTGCCATCAGGTGTTTCCTGTAACTCTCAGTCAGACTTCTGCACCTGTTGACAGGTATTCTGGACCACTGCTCACCTGCTCATCAGCAAAGTGCTCTCATTTGTCCAGGACAGTTTATTTATTTATTTTTTTTAAATTATTCTTTTCAACCACAATTCAAAAGCAACGTCTCATTTCACTAAATTAGAATTTAACACATTTTTATTTATTATTACTTTTTTCAGTTTCTAGTTATTTGAGTGTGAATTTTGCCTTTTCTTCAATGGAAGGGGACGAATACGTTTGAGGACGACTGTACAGACATGTGTATGTGACAATATTTGGTTCTCATCTTTACCCTCAAACAAAAGACCACGACAAATATTTATGATTTTTACAGATTTTCTCACTAAAACTCCACATCGGTCCTCACAGAGATAGAAAGCTGGACCTACAAGAGCCCTTTCACACACCCACTCACACGTCTCCATGCGCTGGTCATTCAACACTCAACTACAAGTCACGCCAGACCATTCCTGCACACACGCAAGCTGACTGCACACCTCCTATACAATCATACATATTATATGAGTCTATCCACTACATGCAGCCGACTGTTCACTAATCACAGAGGCAGAGCCGTGGCTGACACACTGAAGCACTTTCCCCTCTGTCGCCGTCCCTCGGCAGCTGTAAAGGGGAGAACGAACCGATGCAGCAACAACAACAACGCGTTAGGGCATATTGTTGTGATGTCAAAGATGTGACTACACTCAAGATCAAGACCCAATTTATTATTCCCTGGGGAGATTTGTCTCAGCTCACACAGCTTTAACTGCCAGACAAACACAGCAGCAGCATCCTGACAATCCTCACGATGGAAAACAGTGCCAAAGGTCACAAAGTAAAAATCATACGGTCAACAAATCAATTAAGAAAACATGCAAACGTAAGTAAGAATCTTTTGCTTTTCCATTAATAAGCTTGGCAATACAGCGATGAAACAGCACAAAATAAAATGAAACGATTGAAGAGAATAAAATAAGATGGAAAAAACTGTGAATCAGAATGTTGCACTTGTTCTACTCAGAGAAGCAGCACGACAGACAAACATTTCGTAACTGAGATAGAAAATCTTGGAAAAAAATGTGTTTTGCTGGAAAACAAGACGCCATGCTGGAGTTAGCTCCTCTGCACACGAGCTAGTGAGAGATCTAAGAAGATCTCAAACAAACGACTCTTTCTCACCTAAACAAGAGATTCATCAGTTGACTTATCAGCTAAAGTTGTGGTCTGGCTGAGTTTGGAGGCATCACACTTGTGCACAAAGTCAGTGGACGGATGCAAATGGACAGAAAACGGCCCCGCAAATGAAAACAAGTTGTGTGAAAGGGCTGCAAGCTGGCTCGTTGTTAGCACCGTTGCCTCACAGCTAGAAGGTCGCCGGTTGGCGTCCTGGTGAGGACACCCGGGATCTTTCTGCGTGGAGTCTCCATGTTCTCCCCGTGCAGCGTGGGTTCTCTCCGGGTTCTCCGGCTTCCTCCCACAGTCCAGAAACATGCTGAGGTTAATTGGTGATTGTAAATTGTCTGTAGGTGTGAATGTGAGTGTGCTTGGTTGTCTGTCTCTAAGTGTAGCCCTGTGATAGACTGGTTACCTGTCCAGGTGAACCTGCCTTCACCCTGAGTCAGCTGGGATAGACTCCAGCCCCCCATGACCCTGGTGAGGATTAAGGTGTAGAGATGATGGATGGATGGAAGGTGTGTGAAAAAATGCACTTATCATTATAAGGTGCCATGTCTTGTAAAGAGGTAATCTGACATAAAATTGTATGTTATATGCTGGACTTCCATCGACTCAGTCATTCTTTTTTAGCAGACTATTATTGATCCCTTGCCTTTACATCTCCATATCTACATTCACCAAAAAGAAAGTTTCTCCCAGGATTTACTTGTGCTGTGATCTCAGAGCTGTACTGAATTGGCGGAAAGGGCGTTTAAGGTCCCTTTGCTTTGAATCCGTTGAAAATCTGCTTGAATCTTAAAGAGCTGATTGCACTAAATGAATTCAAAGCAACTTTTCGGATGACTCGCCCTGTTTGAGCTTCGTCACTGATGTCTTGTGGCGTATATTTTTGTGATTTTATGATGCTGTAACACACTTTTTTAAAAAACTAGTTTTATGCCTGTAGCCTATTAATTTGCACTGCTGTTGGTTTTGGCCTTTTGTAAAAGAGATTTTTAATCTAAATGAGCATTTCACTGATTAAAAGAGGAGCTAAAGAAAAACCAAAACAGACAAATGTCCAAACACCCACATTTGTGCGATAAAGAGAGGTGAAAGAAATCGCTTTCTGTTTGCGCCTGAAGACAATACTTCATAATGAATCCAGCGACACTCAGACTTTTTCCTGTAACATTTCAAATAGGTAAGATGAGATAATATGAGATAAGCTGTACTTCATGTGGGGAAATTTGTTTTAGACTCCACAATGCAGTTTCACAATAAATGGACAGAATAAAACCAAACATCACATCTGACCCAAGAGACAAACCTCAACCCCTGAAGCAGCTTTCACACAAAGAAATAGTGTGAAACAGTGCACTCATCATGAAAGAGTATAGTGATGCTGCACATCAGATTAAACAGCAGAACCTGGGCTACAACAACATATCAGCCACTTCTACCTGCCCCAAACACAACTCAAACACCAGCTACATTAATTATCACACATGGACATCCATATAGCGCCACCCAGTCGACCCACTCGCCAGTCAGACAGTCCACAGATTCCAAACACGTCCATCAAAGCTCTCTGAGATCAAAGCATCAGCGAGAAACAACCCAAAGAACAGCAAAAACCCAAACCGCTTCATCAAACTGTAGCTGTAAAATGTCTCTTACCTTATAGCTGTTCTGCTGTGAAAAGTTTGTGTTGTCGGTAAATCCACACCTGAATCAATTCGTAACACTTCCTGTGTTACACTGAAATCATTCCGGGCGTCTTTTGGAGGCTTCGTTAGCCTCAGGGAGCTAACGAGTGAACAGCAAGCGGCTCGTCTTCAAGATGGCGCTCTGCTGATTCTGATTGGCTAAAAGTGCTGTCAGTCTCATTTTGGTGGCTATCGCTATATTCTATTGGCCCTAACGATGCGGAGGCGGCATCAATCACTAAACTCGACCAATCATGACGGAGATATAGTCTTGCGTCACCAGAGGATCTCCACAGCAGTCTGATCAGCATCAGGACGCGGAACACAGACAGCGGTCTGGTTGGATGTTCAGGAAATTAAAGAACTGCTGTGTGTGGATGTATTGAACACCTTCAGTGATATACAAGTAAATATATAGTTTGTACATGAGAACATTCAGATGGTCACCAGTGAGCCAGAATGTGAGCTCGCCTGAACCGTCTGGACTAAAAACTCTCTGATGTTGTTCTGCTTCACTTTATCAGAGTCACAATGTTCACATGTTGTCTCTGATCTGGGAGAGGTTCAGAGCTGCTTTCATTTGTGCTGTGTGCCATCTTCATTTACTCTGAACCAGTAACATATATACTGATATTTACACATCTGAACGAATCTTACAAGTGTTCTTTTCATTATGACACACGAATAATTCAAATAGACCTTGTAGCTGCAGAGATAAACTCTTGTTATTGTGGGGATGTCATTTTGGAGCAGAGGCCTGAAAAATAGCTCAGGGCTGAACAGGTTAAACCAACCACCTTAAAGAAAAAGAACATAAAACAGATTTATATCTTTTTTCATAAAGCAAGGGCAGCATCCTGGACTGACACTAAGTGAAGACACTAAGATCAACACTTGATGTGATTTTTTTTTATTTATGTAAATGGTTTATTGTGTTTGGTATAATTATCGTGTGGATTTCTCATTACCTCCACGTGATTTAACTGCCTTCCTTCTTCACACACCCACAAATATAAATCTGAGGGAACAATCCCAATCCCTCCTGCTTTATTTGATTTTTGTCACATTTTGTCTGTCCATTTAAACCTATTTTCAGAAACAATCCTGTGAAAAAGACCTCAGTATCCTCAGTGATACAGGAGAACTCCCACGTTTCTGTTAAAAAGACTTTGAAAACAAACCATTCTGTGAAATCAGAATACTTTTCGTACACAACAGAGTTACTGAATTTACTGTAAATATTTTATTGTGATTTTTAATGCAGAACAATAAAGGACAGAGAAAAATAATAAAATCCATGTACAGATCTGATAAAGTGAAACTGCGACACGGATGCAGCGATAACTCACATAACAACACATGCATATTTGCACACACGCCACATTTGTGACAAACTAACAAGGTGACTCATGAAAGGTACATATGCAACACGCAAACACACACACACAGACACACACACACACACACACACACACACACAGAGGCAGATGTACATAACTGCGGCTGTACATTAATGAGTCACCATTATAAGGCCATAGAGTCATGCCTTGAAACACATTCATTATTCAGACGTGCAGCCACGAGTGACACAACACGTTCACATCAACACAATCTTGTTTGCATGAATGCATCGCGGCCCGGCATGAATCGAGGGCAGAGAGGCTCCCAGATAAACAACCACTGGGTGGTAACAAGAAGTCAACTCGCTCACACTATTTAGACTTGTTTGGATGCGTCTGATGCGGCTGGTTGGTGATAATTTCATACTGTACAGTCATCGTAGATGGTTTTCCAATGATTGCTTTACCGTTCTGGAACAACAGCCTATGAGGGGTTATGTCTTTGCACTGCTCAGTGGAGGAACAGTAATTTTCTGTCTTTCTGAAAGTGAGATGAATAGGTGCATGAAGTCCAGAGAGTCCGGACATGGTTAGCTCAGTTTAGCATAAACACCCGAGGCAGGGGGAGAGTTCAAGTTAAGTTTTATTTAGCTTTATTTGTTCAGGAAGCTTCACTGAGAGTTTGTAAGAGACCTGAGAACAAATTACATATACACGAGATCACAGCAGTGAAAGTCATTCACTCTAACACACACACACACACACACACACACACACACACACACACACACACACACACACACACGGACACATTGATTAAAACATCCACAGAGATTGTTAGAAATATGAGCTGGTAGTCTCCCCGAGGCGTATGTTTCTTTAACTTGTGTTAGAGATCATTTCTGTGGCATCAGAATTACAACAAAAAGATGTTGTAATGCAAATCAATAAAACACAAATAGCTCCACAAATTTGATTTCAGTATTTAGGAAAAATGCGGCAAAGTGAGACCACCGAACAAAACACAGAAATTCAATGCAAATGCAGAAAAACACAACTAAATATGGAAAATACAGTCAAATACAAAAAACACAACCAAATGTAGAAAGTACAACAAAAGGCAGAAAACACATCTGACTACATGTGCCACATGAAAGTTGGAACATGATGCCAAGACTTGAACTTAAAGCTGCACAAGCTGGTGTCAATTTCCTTTTTGTGAAGCTTTACTTTTGCACAGCTGGCACATTTAATTGTTGCACCCCATCCTGTCAGAATTAAACTCTTAATCCGGAACAGATTTTGGTGCGATGGGTGCCTTGACGATGAAGCGTGTACTGTGAAGAACAAACCTCTCAGCCAGAGCGTAACACTGCAAACAAAACATGCACAGGATGGTTTCACATGTTTACAGCATCCGTACAGATGTTGCTTGTGGATGGTAAAATGCTTCATGTGACACAGACAGACATTTCTTTCTGCCTCCAGGGACATTCAGCCTGTGGTGTCACCCGAAGTTTGAGGACCGCTGTCACTCTGTGGTGGAGTTCATCGAGCGAGCCATCATGCACTCGAAGAACGGCAAATTCCTCTACTTCCTCCGTTCCAGAGTTCCAGGTGAAAAAATATAGGTCACACAGCCACACGTAGCACGACCGGATCAAAAATGAATGTGAGCTCCCACTTAGGGAGAAGTGCCCGAGAGACGGAGGAGAGGAGAAACGTATGTGACCGTCTGTATGTCTGCATTCAACCTGTGAATCATTCATGATTGTGTGAAAGCGCAGGGCATCCTCAACATACAGGAACCATGATGGGCTTGTGGTTAGGCATTTACTGTACGTCTTTCAGTAAATTTGTGTGTTATGGTGAAAATATAGGGTATGAAACTGGTTTGTGTGTATTGGTGTCCACACTTGCTTTACTGCACTTTAAACACATGCAGTTGATATGAGGCAAGTGTGACCTACAGAAGAGAAATGGCAGCTCTTGCTTGCTGCTGACAGTGATGCACGTATAAGCTGGTTCCACAGCTGACAGAACCCAGCGAAGATGATGAAGTTTAGGACGTATTGGAGACTGTGTCAGTATCAAACATTATACAGTTATGGCAGGTCTCCATTAAGTCCTGATTAGTAATGGTTTAAATTAGTGATGCATGATATTTACATTTCTGGCCGATATTAAGATTTCTGATATTGCCGATAACCGATATTACTGATGTCGTTATTTAATTTTTGTTTACTCTGAAAGACGAGTGTCAGTAAGCACTGTGAGAGCATGAAAAGTATTCAAAAGAAGCCCAAATTAGACCACATCGTCTTCTTTATGAACAAAAGTAAAACATATTTAAACATATTTTAACATATGTAACGTTCAGAACTATTTAAGTGAAGACATCTGTGAAATAGCAGCGACATCAAATGTAGAGACGAAGGCGCTGATGTTAGACAATCATCGTGTTTTCACATCGGCTAAATTTGTTCAACGGACCGATACCGATATGTGGGGAAAAACCCTAATATCGGCCGATCCCGATGTGGTCGCCGATATATCGTGCATCCCTAATTTATCTTTCTTGATGAACATACATGTTAAATATCACAGTGTCTTCTCATTGCAAATTATATTCCTTCTTTGCAAAATTTTATCAGATTTAAATTGTGCAATACAACAAAAGGTTATGTTTCTAATGACTGTTGAGCCTGTGGCCATAAATTTCACCATAAAATCACTACTAGAGTGAATACACTATTCACTCCTGTTTTTTTTTTTTTAATGTATTAATGCTGGATAAACACGTAAAAGGCTACAATCCAATATCAGATGTTGTCTTTGGTCGTGATGACCCTTTAAAGAATCTGCTTTCTGTTGAGTTTCAGCGTATTGTTTCGTTAAAATGCCACCTCCCTGTTTTTTAAACTCACGACAGTATCATTTACAGAAGCAGCAGTTTTTATAGAACCTGCCTTTAGCAGCTATTTCCACAGACAGCAGACATACACTGTGCATGAAAGATTTTAGTTATCGTAGTTTTAAGGATATTGCTGTGAGTTTGATATATATGCTATGTGTGTTTCTGGTATTTAAAGCTGCAGAGACAGCAACAGAAATTAGGAGACAGCGAGAGGGAGTGATGTTCAACAAAGGCATTCGGCTGTATTCAGAATGGGCTACGTGTTGTAGCCACTGGGCCCCCAGCATGCCCCGAGCCAGAGGACATGCTGCAGAGATGGAGAGGCGGCTGGCTGGGTCAGAACGTGTCAGTGAATAACATCTGACTGTTTGTTGCAGGGCTTCCTCCCACTCCGGTCCAGCTGCTGTATCCTGTATCTCGCTTTAGCAACGTGAAGTCACTACAACACCTCTGTCGCTTCTGCATCCGTCAAATAGTCCGCATCGACCACATCCAGGAGCTTCCACTGCCCAGGTACTCAGTCATGGGATCATTTTTAATAAACATTTTGCTGAAATATGAACCGTACGACTTTGATACGGGGTGAAAGTCCTCAGAACCCCGGTGGGGTCCATCATAGCCACAGAAGCAGGCAGAACTGATGGAGCTCAATGAGAAGTAAAAACTCCTTTGTTTTCCAATATTTATCCGGCGTTTTTGACTCAAGGTTTGTGGAGACCTCTTTGATCTTGGAGGCTGTGGTCACGCTGTGTGAGGTGAAACATTAGGCTCTTTGTTCACAACTCAGCACACGGAGAGATTTTAACTCTGCAGCAGTTGGGCTCAAGTGCGTCACACAAATCTGGACAAATTCAAGCACATAAATCAGGTTATCAAGGAGACACAATGGGCTCGTTGTTGTGCTTAATATAATAGCTTCTGAGCTTGTATCCAACTAAAAGCTCAGGAGCTGGTTCTTGGGACATTTTCTGCCTGTCATTGAAGGAGGTGTCTCAGTTATTTGGCCGTGCTAGCAGTGCGGCTCTGTCGGTACACAACTGTGAATCTTAACAAATATTGGATGTTTTGCAGTAAACTCTTGTGGAGTTATCTCATCTTTTGTTGATCCTCTGACTTTTTATCTGCCAGCTGTCAGCAGGCTGAAGTTCTCACTTAAACAGTAGAAGATCTTTTGAATGAGAATGACATGAGGTTCAGTCATTTATGGTTCACAGCCTGGACAGATGAAGTTAGAGGGGGCTGTGGGGTTCTTATTGGGCCCCTATCAGCACTATAGAGGTTCATGTCTTTAGCTCCTCAGTCGCCCAAAAAACACTCATAAGAGCTGAAATGAAGTTGATTAACTGAGACACAAAAATGGCAATTGATTTATCACTTGAGTGATTTTTAGCAAAACAAACTCAGTGATTCAGTGGCACCAGCTTCCTCAACAAGAATGCTTATAAAGTCCCTTTTTTCTAAGACAGTTAACTCAACAGCTTTGTGTTTTTAGTTGTTGATCGGAGAAAAAAAGAAATCTGAATATGTTAATTCATGGAATAAGGAGAGGCGTTTTCACTATAATCTGAGATTTTATCAACACAAACAATGTATTGATCACCAAAGAAAGTAGATGTATTTATTCTATGACGTACAGGAAATAACGCGCTCGCTAATGTCGATGGACGATCTCATACAGTCGATATTTTTGGGGCCTGCATGCTCGGTGATCCAGCCTTTGAGTTTGACTGCTGATTCTCGTGTGTCCATCCCAACCTCTCTGCAGACCGCTGATCTCCTACCTGAGTAAGTTTTATTACTACGACCCTGAGGAGGAGATGTACCTGTCAATCAAGAGCATCCGGAGGGTGGTGGGAGCCGAGCAGGAAGCCGAGTCGCAGACGTAGCAGCAGAGAGCTCCTCAGCTCAAGTGAGTTCGTTTCTCATCAGCTTCGTCACTTCAGTTGTTGCGCTTGTTGATTCGTAGGTTAGTGTGATTTTCAAGCCACACAGAAAGCTTCATTCAAGTCAGAATTTATGTTTCTGATACTTTTCAAAGCTTATAGAAGGAAGGATCTTCCCGTGTCTGTACAATAAATATGAAGCTATAACTGATGAGCTTAGCTTAGCATAAATACCAGAAACAGGGGAAACAACTGTGTGTGATCTTAATAACGTCCTCTGTGTTGATCCTGTGACTGTGATACTCATCAACGTCATTTTACGTAGCAATTTCTCAATTTATCTGAGCACATATTAATAAAGTTTTACCCCAAACTGTGTCCAAACTTTGTCTCCAGGTTTCTTATGGAGGACTGATCTGCACTGGTCTGCCAGTCTTCCAGCATCAGCCAATCAGAGTCCCTGGAATTCAGTATGTCCAGTTGGACAGGGACGGATGGACCCTCCTCTGTGTTGATTTGGACTAATGAAAGGAGGGAGGAGTGTTTGCAGTTGGATGGTGGGAAACAGATGCAGACGACTCAGTCACGTCTGAGGAGAGACTGCAGAGACACCTGAAAACATGTTGGCAGACACAAAGAGAGCGTGAATTATGAACTCATTTTTTTCCAATTTCCTGAACCTGCTGAACTGGACTTTTAAAACACAATGCACTGGTCAGTTTGTACAACTGTTGTTTGCTGCCATTTCCTTGTTTTTCCTTCCATTCTGTCAAAGTGAGGGATTTTAGATTGAAAGATGCCCTCAGGACAGATATACACACAGAGGCAGGGCAGCAGAGGTCCATCACTCAGCGTAGCAGCATCAGGAACTGAACCCTGAAGTAGGAACCTCAGAATCAGCTAAATCTGGATTTAGTTTTTTTTTTCTTGAAAGGAAACAGTGACATCTCTTCATTTTGCTGACATTCCTTTGACATGCTGTGATGTAGTTCTAGATAACGGTATCCTCTCTAGACTACCAGACCCAGGATTACTTCATATGATTTCTATGATCAGTCATAAATTTGCAGCACTGAAGAAGAACCACATTTGGCCCTTCACTTGCAGAGGCTGCACAGATATGGTTCGATATTTTCATCAAAGTAGAACCGTAGGACTGAAGACAGCTGTTATTTCCATTATCAATATGTGTGACAGTTATTTTCTCTCATGATCGACTTGGTATAAAAAATGTCATAAAACAGAAAAATCATTTTTTAACTGATGCCCAAATTATGCCCACAAACAATGTGTAATAGCTGCATTTGTCTGTAGAGCAAAGTGTATTTTTATATTTGAAGATACACTACTTACATTTTTAGGATCTACTTTAGGGGCAGGACTCATCACCTTTGCAATGTAGGAAAAAGAAAAAGAATTTAGTGTTTGCATGAGGGTATTATTCACCAAACTGTGATCTTTTCCTGAACCCAGCTAAGACATTCTGTGTCTTCAAGAAAAGCAAAAAGTAGCCGAAAACAAGAGAGAACAACAAGTAAAAAGGAAATTAAACACCAACTGAAAATGCCACAAAACATGAGTCCCACTAGAGACTCAGACCCCTTTGTCTCGGGTAAACGTTCTGTGGTTTAGGCCACCTCCCCTCCAGCCTCTTTACGTGGACTTTTTTTGGTCTTTTTATGTGTAAAGTGAAAGAAACCCAGGAGTTACCTGACTTCAAATAGAAAAGAACCAAAAACACATCTCACAGTTTCACAGCCTTTAGTGTGAAATGAATGTAGCTGTTACACATTTTGGTGTGTTGGACCAACAATCAAACATCCAACGATGCTCCATCACAGAAAACGAATATTCACAATTGAGAACTAATACCAGGGAATTTTTGGGCCATTTGTTTGGTTTTAAGAACATGTCAAACCAGTAATCAGTGGCCAGATTGTTGACATTTTCCTTCCTTGTTTGCCGGCTGACTAGTTGATCAGTTAACCGACTGAGGCGGTTTAACAGCACTGTCCAGTCTCTGGGGAGATAATAAACGTAGCATTTCAGGTGCAGTAGGCTTTACAGGAGGCCCCTCAGGTGGTTGATGCTCTCAAGTGATAGACTTCATGCCTCACACTGACTACAGTGATACATGCTATGACATTTTAAACTGGATTTCTCCCACCAGAATGAAAAAAAAGCCACAAAACTTTATAAAGTAAACCTGGTTGTCTTTGTCAATGGAAAGACTCCATCTTCAGATGCTGGTAGATACGGTTGAACATTTTCCAGAGTATCTCCTCTAACTTCCCGACAGACTTATGAACTTTGAGCTGGGATGTAAAGAGACAACTGCAGTTCCTGAACTTAATGAACACAAATAGCGTCTCTGGTCTCAAACACTCCTTACTTCTACTCAGCAGCTCCTCTGGTTGCGTTAAACTCCTGTTGTGTATTCGTTGCTCTTACGTGGCAGATTTCACGTCATATTGTTGCTGTTACCATTTGGACAGATATTCAGAGGAACACTGAAATCACACCAAAGAAAAATATCCTCAGAAGTCTAGTTTACATTACAAAGAGTTCACTTGAATTGAAGGCAATAATAAGAGTTTTTTCAATGAAACACAAAACTAAAGTTGATGACAGCCTGATGCCTCGGTGATATCCCATCATGCCCTGCCTTTCAGTGTGTATATCTTCCAGGACTGCTCTCTACCTGTCAGTTTGATTTGTTGAAATGCCCAGATGTATTTTGCTCATTCTGTTTCTCAGTACCCTGAAGCTGGCTACTGGCTCAGCGTTTTCAGTAAAAAAAGAAGAAAAATAAATATTGGTGTGTGCCATATTTTATTTTTTTTCACTTGCGTATTTTTATGCTAAGATTGACGATAAATTTATTGACAGAAGATTAGTACACTGATGGTATTTCACCTAACGGATGCTGCTAACGTTTAG